GACCAAGATCCTTATTTAATATCCTTGCTCTATGAAATAGTTTATGCTTTATTAAAAACAGAACAATAATAACCTTTTAGCTATCCCCATATTTAAAAGGAGAAAAGGTTTCTGTTTATTTTCCTAATTTGCATTTAAATAGATTCATTTATCATTTATTATATATTAAGAACTAGATTTGTATATTTTCACTGAGTTTAAGCCAGCATAAAAACATTACTTTGCAAAACGTGGAAAAAAAAAAAAACCAAGTAGCTTACATGTAACATCTATCTTCTTAATGAGACAAAACTATGTTGGTTTCCAAACAAAGAGATAAAATTTCATTATTTAGACATGAACTTTCCTCCTGGAGGAATTTTGTTGTTTTATTACATTTTGTTGAACCTACCATTTGTATCTTCTCAAAAAAAAAAAAAAAGACAGTTCAAAATGTTTGAAACCACTGTGGAGACATTTTCTTTAGTTTTGGGGGTTTTTTTTCTTTAGATTTTTGTTCCAGTGTCTAGTTCAGGTGTCTTCCAGAAAGCCCAATTCAAATAGATCAAATCATAAAATGTCCTAGTTTAGAAAGGGTCAGCTTGTCTGGAGATTAGCAACCCCAGAGCCTGTGACCAACTCCCTCATGCATTTCTTTCATTCACTAAGTATTTATTGAGAGAAGTGGAGCTATTTGAATCAGCCATCCCCAGGCACTGAGGGGGCAGGTGGGAGGCAGAGACGAGGGGGCCGGGTACTGGCCACTGAATGGCCGCATGTGAGGGGCAGCATCCTCCCACCGCTGGAGCCCCACAGTGCCCTGGTGGCTGCCTTTTGGGGGGCAACTGCTCTGTGGAGCCTGGGCAGAGGAGTTCCTACAGTCACATGCAGGAGGCAGGGCAGTGTCCCAAGAGCCTGGATCAACAGACACTCAGTGAATGTGCCTTGGGTGGCATGAATGAAGCCCACTGGGGGGGCTTCACTTTTCTGAACCTGTTTTCCATCCGTAAAGTGGGCCTGCTGGAGGCAGTGAGATGATGCTTGCGAATGGACATTTTGAACCCTAAAGCACTGGACGGATAGATGTCAAGGCTGAGACTAAGCAGCTGCATTTCTCTGGCTATTAAGAACAATGCCAGTTTTCTTACAGTCATTCTTTGTATTCAAAAGTTAGAAATGTTAAGCTGTAGCAATGAATAAGCATTCTGACCCAGGAGACTCAATAAAACTAATTTTTATTTTGAATGGAAAAAAATACACTCCGTAAGTTTCCAAATTGAGCCGATTGTAAACCAGGATGCTTACCTCCATTCTGGGCACTGCTTATCCCTTGGAAATGAAGAGAAGCCCAGAAAAGAAGAGACTTGCCCACAGTCTCATGGGTAATTAGTGACAGAGCCAGGCCCAGAACCAGCCTAGTCCTTATCCCACTTAACTGCACACGCACATGGGTGCTTACATGCGTGTGCGCACACACACGTTCTCTCTCTGCAGCCAGCTGCAGTGAATGCAGCAGAAATGCTGGTGACCCTTGCAGGCAACCAGGCTCACAAAAGTGAGTATTATATACAATTAGGCAGCAGATTCAGGCCCAGAGAAGACTTGAGACTGTCCCTAGGAAACAGCCATGTTGGAGAGACCGTGGTTCCTGATATCACATCGACTGTCTGGTCCCTAGGTGCCTGAGATGAGTGTCACCTCCTTGGAGCACTGCCTCTAGCCTCCGGCATAGCTGAACTTTCCCAGAATGCGCAGCCCCCAGAGACAGCTCGTGTGCTCCAGTATGGAAGGCAGATGGGGCGCAGTGGCCTGGGTGCAGACCTCATTGTGTGAGAAGCCCATTCAATGAGGCGTGCGGTTCCTCCAGCACTCTTCGCTCTCGCCTGCCTTTTAACTCACTGTTGTTATTGCTTTTCTCCTTAACTGGCCCGTGTTCGGCTCTCCTTGCTCTGTAGTCCGGCAGGGACCTGGCGCCAGGCAATCTAATCATTCTGGTGCTAGCACATAACTCTCTGTTTATTAGCATATCTAAATACTCATTTAACAGAAAATACAGGGAAGGTCACTTCTAGGCCACTGGGATAGACAAGAAAGTATGAGTGAGCACTTTTCATCCTAAGTTCCAAGCACTTGAGGCATTTCAGATTTTCATTAATTCTATTGATTCTTTGGTCAACAAGGAAAAGAGATGAGGGATTATTTTTAAATGGGGTTGAGAGGCAGAATTTAAAAGAACAAAAATTACACAGTGAAGTTCCTTTAGACTCCTGGGACACTTGTCTTCTTCCCCTCTTGTCCTTAATAGTAATTTTAAAAAGCGCTGACCGCGTGCCTGCGGTGTGGGGTTGGCTGTGGCTGGTGGACCCGGGGTGGCGCACGCCACCGATCCTGCCCAGCCTCCGCAGGCACCCCCAGCCTGGAGCATCTGCTGACACTTGCAAGTGAAGGATGATACTTTTGCCCTTTATCTGTGTAGGTAGCCGGAAGTGATCTGGGTAATTCAAAAGGGAGAATCATCTCCAGATTCAATCCCATTTTATGCCCATTTGCCTTGGGAAGGTGATGTGCTTGTACTTAACCATGGGTTGTCATTGCCTTGGTGTCCCTCTCCTGACCTCCAGACAAAACTCTAACTGCCCACAGGACACCTCCACCTGAAGGTCTCCTAAGCCTCGCAAACTCAGCATCTGAAACGGAACCTGCGGTCTCTCCTCCCCTACCCCAGCTTCTTGCCCTCCTCTTGAGGTGGTACCTTGGGGGCACCTTCTCTTACAAGGATCCAGGGCGCCATGCCAGATACCTGGCTGTCTTCCCTCTCTCTTTCTCACCCTCCCTCCCCAAACAGTTGGGAGTCCTCAGTCCCTTCCTAGCGACTCTCGCTCTGCCCACTTCACAGACTCCACTGTCACTCCCCACATCCGGGTTTCCAGGTTCTCACTCTTGCTCCCCAGGATTACAGCCTCCTAACCATTCTTACTGCTCCATCTCTCCCCGCCAGTCCACATCCCATGCTGCTCTCAAAGCTCACATCACATTTCACTGCTCAGCTTACAACCCTCCACTGACATCTTGCTGCCCGCAGTGTATGGTCCAGGTTTCCTAAAGCCTGTGTCCAGGGCTCTCCATGGTCCCTTCTACCTCCCCAGCCACATCTTCTCCTCACATCAGGTCCAGAAGCACAGAAGTGGTGCTTTCAGAGCCCTCTACACACCGGGCTGCCCCACGGTTCTGCCCCTTTGATCTTCCCTTTGCCTGGAGCCCACATCTCACTCTTTCACCTGGCTAATTCCTACCTGAGTCAGGGTCAAGTCAGGTGTCACCTCCTTTGGGAAGCCTTCTCTGCTCTTCCCTCTCTTCACACCATCAAGAGAGGCTGCTACCTTGATATACCACACTGACCTTTATCTTGATAGATTTCTTTGTTGAGTTGCGATTTTAATCACGTCATATGCCAAGTTGTGCTAACACTGTATCTGAGTCCATGTTTGCTTTCCACACTGGCTTTTAAGCCACTTAAACTCAAGAACCACATATTAATCATTTTTGCCTTGTATAGTGCCTGGCGTGTAATGAGTGTCCGATAAATGCTGGTTAAACGTAACTGAAAAAGTAAATTCGCTTTTCCGTTTAAAGGGGAAAAATGGAATGAGGCTGTGACTCTGCCTTCCAGGAAAGCTGGCGTGATCTTTGCAGCTTCTCAGCCTACACCTGTGCTCCATCCTTCCCTGCTCTACTCTGCAACTGAGCTGCAGCCTTTAGCTCATCCCAAACTATGGACCATGAGTTCCAAGCATAGCGATCCTCTTCTCCAAAGGTTTAACACGTTTCCTGGCTATATCACTTGACTACTCTGGGCAGAGACTTACAGAAAATCCAAATTAAACCAGTTTGAATAATAAAGAGGATTTCTTGGCTCAGGTACTAAGCAAGTCCAGACACAGTGTGGAGATCAGGCAAGGCTTGATCAGGGCTCTGCTTGTTTCCTGCCATTGTTTTGGCTACGCTCTTTCTCTGCCCATTGGCTTCACCCTCAAGCTGCCAGCAGAATGGGTACAGCAATTTGAGGTGCAGGGTCACAATGACAGTATCAGAGGAAGAGAAGTCATATCTAAACAACTACAGTTCTGTTTTCCCAGGAGCTTCCAGCAAACTGCCCTTTGTGTTTTATTGTACTGAATTGGATAACATTCCCGTTTCTAAGACAGTCCCATGGGTCAGGAAATGTCATACACTGATTGGCTTAGATCTGGTGTCCTGAGAAGGGGTAACCCTTAGAGTGACCAGGCTTTCCCTTGGAATTGAGGTTCTGGTTAGCTCCCCTAAAAGTGAGTGGGCCACCTGTGGGAGAGGTGGAAACCTAAATGAAAACCAGGTACAGAGCCATGGGGAGGAAAATGGCTCAATGCCCACTGTGCTAGGCAGTATTCACTCTACCCTTAAAATCCTCCTCTGCTGGTTCCTCATGGGTCATAGCAGAAACCCTGTGAGGCTGTGGAGTCACAAGAAAAGGTGACTGCATTCAGAGTCAGTTCAACAACGTGTGGTCGGGCAGTGTAAGTGGGATGGGGCATGTTAGGATGCCCTGTGGCTTCCAACAAGTGTCTCTCTCTCCTGCTGGAGCAGTAGGGAGTGGATTAAACCTCCCACTTGTCTCCACTTCACCTGTCCCTAAAGCACGCATTGAGGGGGGGCATGGCTTTTGACGATTTCTAAAAGCTTTTAAAAGGGGAAATAACTAGGGAAAGTGAGCAGCTTCCTCCCCGTTCTCCTTGGTCCTCTTACTCATTTTCTCTCTTCCCCTAGGCTCTGTAGGGAGACATGGAGGCTGGTGGCAGGGCCTTCTGCTAAGGAGGAGGGCTCTCCTGGGAAGCCAGGGTGTGGGCCACCCCCGACCCTGAGCAGGATGACTGGTCCTCACTGGGCCCCAGCAGGAAGGCTGCTTTTCTCCCAGTAGCTCTGAAAGTTCCTTGCTGTTGGACCCATACCCCCATGATGACTGTGCGCCTTCTTTCCCCCTCTAGATGTTCGACTGGATAAGCCACAACAAGGAGTTATTCCTCCAGAGCCATACAGAGATTGGAGTCAGCTACCAGCACGCCCTGGACCTCCAGACGCAGCACAATCACTTCGCCATGAACTCCATGGTGAGTGCAGGGTCTCTTCTCGGGGGCAGGAGAATAACGAGGGGGACGGGGCTGCGGTGGAGGGGGCAGAAACAGACTTCCAAGCTGAGGAGGAGTGAGCAACTCTGAACACGCGGCCCCTTGTAGCATCCCATTTGTCAAGACAGGGACGAGCGCAGGACACGTGGTGAGCCGGCTGTTCCCGCAGCAGATTATGGCCTCATTTCTGCCTCCGGACCCTGCTTTACAGGGTGAAAGGAACGTGCTAGGGTTGTAGAAGCCATCAGCCCAGTGCAGGACTAGAAAGGAGAGTGCCCAGTTCCACTCCGCTGACTAAACCCACTGGCATGTGTGAGTCACTAAGCTGGGATGAGAGGCACCTCAGGCTGTGGCGCGTTGGAAACGGTTGAGTGAACTGGGCTGCTTAGACTAGAGAAGAGGAACCTTGCGGGACACACAGTTGCTGCCTTCAGTTATGTGGAGGGCTGCCTTGGAGAGAAGAGGGCGGAATTGTTTTGTGTTGGTCTAGGAGGCAGAACAGTCCAGGGGACGGCAGTTGGAGGGGGAGGCAGCGCATGGCTCAGGAGGTGGGATGTACTGGAAGTTAGTGAGCTCCCCGGGATGGGGAGACTTCAAGCAGACACTGAATTCAGAGAGGGATGTTTGCTAGCTGTGTGGCCATAGGAAATTTACCTGTCTGTGCTTCCATTTCTTCATCTGTAAAATGGAAATAATAATAGCCACCTTATAGGGCTGCCGTGAGGATTCAATGAGTTAATTGTAAGGTGGCTGGAGATGTGCCTGGTACATAGTCCATTATCAGTAAATATTGGTATTATGATAATGATGATGCTGGTGATACAGGAATCTAGTCCAGATGACTCCTGTGATTCCTCGTAAAACTAACACTTTGGAATAGTAATTTTTCCATGTGGTCTCCCCAAGACTTTGAAATCTTGTCTGCCCCTTGAACCCGTTGTATCTGAAATGTCTGCAGCCTAAGTATGTCTCAACATCTCTCTCTCTCCCCTCTGCCAGCTCTTCCTGCTTGTACTACTGGTCCAATAGAATAGCTCCACCATTCCCCGTATATCTGAACTCCAAAGACACCATATCATTTCATCTGGTGATGCTGGGAGAGGGGCAGGTGTTAGAAAAACATAAACACAGAGGATCACAGAGGCCAGAAAAGAAGATAATTTCATTTTCTATGGAGTTGTTTTAACAGTGTTATACACTGGACTGTGTTATACACAGAAATAATTCTGGCCTCAAGTTTTCAGTGTCTAGTTAGGGAGATAACTCAGACAGTCATGGTACAGCTTGATATGTGCGGTGATAGAGATGCTGAGTGACGTAAGAACCGTACAATCTCAGTGGTTTAAAGTAATAGAGGTTCATTTCTTGTTCCTACCACATGCCCCTCACTGGCTGATGGGGGCTGTGCTCATCGCACTCACTCGATGAGACTCCCAGACTGAGGGAGCAGCCACTGTCTCAGATGCAGCCAGTGCCTCAGCAGACAAAGCAAGCAGCCAAGCGCACGCTAGCTCTGAAACCTTCCACCTAGAAGAGACGCATTTCACTACCCAGCACAGTCACACGGCCACATCTAACATCGCGGGTGGAGGTATATGGTCCTACCTCCACATGTTGGGCAGGAGAGAGTGGGTGTTTGTGAATAGCCCTGATGAGTAGCACAGGGAGCCATTGCAGGATGTAAGGGAGAGGTGAGCAGCGTGAGATTTGAATGGGAAGGGACCTCTGGCTGCGGAATAGAAGGTTGTGGGACCAGGCGGGGAAAAGGTCAAGATTGACTGTGTTACCAATTTGGGCCACAGCAGTCTTGTCCTCATCTAAACGTAAAGACTAGTCCAACTAGGCTTCTATAATTATGTCTCATCCCAGGCCCGCTTTGGTCACAGAGGAGCAAACCGATTGATCGCAGGTGATTAAGAACAGGAACTCAGATCTAGTCAGGTTTGATTATCGGTGTGCCTTGTGGATTTCCCCTGGTGAATTTTACAAATTCTGTGCCGGAATCTTCATGTCGCCCAACTGCCTGGCCCTAAGGCAGACAAACTCATTTTAATAAGAAGCAAAGACAAACATGATTAGGGAGGTAAGTCTACCATCAAGCCCTTCAAAACAGTGAACTACAAAGTTACACAGAAAGAGCCTTTGAATTATCTGCACCACTGCTCTTCTCTGTTAATATGGGTAACTGAGAGTTAATAACACATCAAAAACCTTTCCTCTGACACATTTACTTCTGAAGTCTCCATTTTCAGGACAAAAAAAATAAAAACGAGGGAGGAAATTTACTGAAGGGAAGCATCTTCTGGAGCTGGGAGGGAGGAAGAGGAGGTTTAATACACAACAGCCAGTTAGCATGTTCCAGCCCATCTCTAGTCTCCCTTTGCGGTGCCTGTTTAGCCTGATTAGGCTGGCTCTCCTCTCTGGCTGCAGGGCAGGGGAAGGGAAATCCCAGGGTTGTTTGATCAAATTGGCTGAACTGGTGCGTTATAAACGCGGCACGTGCTTTTGTTAACTGGGAGGTTTACAGGTTGCTTATTAAAAGGGACTTCCCCTAAGACGGATGTCAGCAACCCAAGGAGGTGAATAGAGGGAATTACAGACTCCTTTTCTCTGGCCTGAGTGATGGATGTTGCTGCCAAGAAACAGATGAATTTAAGCAGCTACTGCTGGAGCCCAGTGACTGTAGGAATGATCAGTTACTCAGGGGAAGTGAGAATGTGGATTGTTTTGTAAGTTCACTGAGGCATTTCCTTTTTGGTTCTTGGAAAAGAACCTATACATATGCCCACACATCTGTCCATGTAAAGGTACATGCTTTAGGTACTTTGTTTCAGGCTACTTTCAGGTACTTTGTTTCAGGCTACAGGTGAGTTCTTTGCTACTGAATCCTGTTTTATCAGTGAAATAGGCCAGTGATCCCTTACCTTTCGGGGAGGTCACAGACCCCTTTGAAATCTAATGAAAGTTGTGGGTCTTCTTTCCAGAGAAATGTATGTGGACAACTTTTTTTTTAGGCATTTTCAGGGGATTCAAGGGAATCCTAAAGCCTATCGATCACCCTCCCCAATATAAGATCCCAAGAACCTCATGACTTCTTTCTTCATTCATTCCACAAATAATTAAGGATTAGACATTGTGCTGGATGTTGGGCATATAGTGGTGAACAAAATGGTCTGTCCTCGGAGGTTCCAGTGGAGAGACAGGTGATATTATATAATCTCATAAGTAAATATATAAATACAAATCAATAAGTCTTATGTTGGAAGAGTAAGTGCTGCTACGATGGAGGATAACAAAAGGGGCTCCATGTAAATGAGGGGAGGTCAGGTATATTTTTCAATTAATAATCAGTACTGACTTAATGCTTATTGTTCATTCATTGATAGTAATTAATGGTCTGTGAATTAACTCTATAAAGTACCAGTTCTTCTTTATAATTTAAAGAACCCCTAGGTATACTGTTTGGTAAATGAAGATGATCTAGTTATAATTCATCTGTTTTTTAAGTTTAGTTTTCATGTCTAGTTTTATATACCAGTTAAAGACACGACCCCAGCTGAGGTGACCATTACTGAGAAATAATTGCATATCATTAAATCGTGGAAGCAAAATCAGAAATTTCCTAAATTTTGTCTGTCAATTGGTACCAATAAAGGCTATCAATTATTAACATGTGGATAGTGTGGGAGTATAATGCCCCACTGAGTATGGTACATGAGCAACTCTGAAAGAAAAAGGTTAAAATTGGTTGATCTTTGGCTTTTTGTTATGACATGTTTGTTTGCAGTTTCCACTGGGGAATCCTATTCTTTTGAGCTTTAATAATAATAATAATAACCCACCTACTAAATCCAGTAGGAAGATATTCTCTGGCTTCTTATAGGGCCTCGTAAAGCCAGGTTTCCTGAGCTCTCTGGGGCCCTCCTTTTCTTAATTTCGCCTTCTGTTGTGAAAGGCTTTCTCACCAATTCTCCTTCCCCTGAATGTGGCCTCCTCCTCTGATGGGAGTGTGGGCAGATGGAATTAGGATCGGGTTGTACTGTAACATGCAACAGAACAATCAGGTAGCCATCTATGCTCCAGTTCCTCGTGAAAAAGACACTCACAGGAGTACATACAAACAACACAGTCTTATTTACAATTTTAATTAGCCGGTTCTTTGGGGAAGATAAATTGCTAATGGTTTCTGTCTAGAGTTTTAAAATATGAAGTGATATTCATTTTCTATTGTTACGACTGTGAGGACTCACATTAGTGATAACCACGTGCAGCTGGACAGTAGGAAGCCTTTCTGCTGCCGCATGTTGATAGCTGCTTTAATCCTATTAATTTGCTCACCAGAGGCACATACTGCCACTTGATGGTGTGCAAATCAGACCAATTGCAGCAAAGCCTGTGGTGCTCTCTTTGTTTTGAGGGGAAGTTAGAAATGGTAGCACCAAGGAAAAATCAGATCTGGTGCAGGAGAGGTAAAGATTCTGAGCAGGTTTCCTGACCCCAATTTGAGAAGCCTTGCTCTGGGGTCCTCTGTCATCTCTGATTCTCAGCAGCCCCAAACCATGATTCTACAAGTAATTCCCTACCCGCAAACAGACAGCACTTCCTATGATGAAGTGACCCCACTTCCATCGCCCACACTCCCATCAGAGCAGGAGGCCACACTCAGGGGAGGGAGAATTTGTGAGAAAACCTTTCACAACAGAAGGCAGAATTTAGAAAAAGGAGGGCCCCAGAGAACTCAGGTTTTGGGGAACACACGTGTGCACACACACACACACACACACACACACACACAGGCACACACATGATTGTGATGTTTAATAGCCAGGATTTGACCCTGTCATAGCCACAAAGTCTCTTAGTACACATAAAACCTGTTGAAAAAGAGATGAGTCTTAGCTTGTATGCATTAGTCTTTTCAGTACAATTTTTTTTTCAAAGAATCTTGTAGTAGACTTGCTAACAGTGTAGATTTCTTTTTG